ATTTCTCCATCCTTCCTAAATTTCACATCATCAGAGTATAACCACCCTCTACTCTGTCTTGGTGCAGTCCTCTACCCTCTTTCCAACTCCAGGACTCCTCTTCCTCACTCCTTAAATGGTTTTCACTTGGCTTTCTGTCACTGTCTCCCCTATTGATGCTGTCATAATTCTTGGTGATTTCAAAATACACTTAGGTGGTTCTTCCAAAACACTGGTATATCTCCATCCTGTACCACCCCCATGCAATCCAGACCCCCATATCTCACTTCCTAGTCAACATCTTCACTTGGATATGTAACAGGCACTTCAAACGACACATGTCCAAAATTGAATGTATCTTATTTTTTCTATATCTGCTCCCTCAAGGTCTTTCCAATCTCAGAAAGTAATGATTCCATCCTTTTTATGCCCAGGCCCCAAACCCTCAAGTTATCCTTGACTCTCTCTCACCTTTCACATCAAGAAATCTGTTTTGTTTACCTTCAAACTATATCCAACTACATGCCACTTCATATCACTCCTCTTGCTGCTACTTTGATGTAAGGCAGCACTATTTCTTGTGTGAATTATTGCACTCCATGAAGGCAGAGATTTTTAACTGTTTTGTTCTTGGCTATATTCCTGGAGTTTGGGAAAGTGCCGAGTACATAGTAGGCACTTAATACATATTTGTTGTATGAATGGATGAATGAATGATTTCTTTCTATCATCACATCTGGAGAATTCTCATTCATTATTTCTGTGAATAATGAGTTCCCCATTCTCTCAGTGTTCGCCCTCTGCATCTCCAGCAGTCATGCTGTAGAACTGCTCCCTCTCTGATAATGTCTCTTAGTCTCCTCTTCATATTTTATATGTTTTTACCCTTCGTAGCTTTATGGATGATTTCTCTAGTTCAGTACTTCCATTTTCAATTGTGTCTAAACTGTTGTTTCACCCTTTCATTGTATTTCCCACTCCCAAGTTTACATATTTAATCCCTAGAAGTTTTCTTTAGTCCCCCCCCCCGTTTTTTTTGTGAGGAAGATCAGCCCTGAGCTAACATCCATGCCAATCCTCCTCTTTTTGCTGAGGAAGACTGGCCCTGAGCTAACATCTGTTGCCAATCCTTCTCCTTTTTTTTTCCCTTTTTCTCTTCAAAGCCCCAGTAGATAGTTGTATGTCGTAGTTGCACATCCTCCTAGTTGTTGTATGTGGGACGCCGCCTCAGCATGGTGGGAGAAGCGGTGCGTTGGTGCGTGCCCGGGATCCGAACCCAGGCCACCAGTAGCAGCACGCCCACCCAACCGCTAAGCCACAGGGCCGGCCCTCTTTAGTTCCCTTTTAAAGCTGCCATATCTTTTGATATTTTTTTTCTTAGCTACACTTACGTTGCCCACTTTTATGTCCTCAATCAAATTAAATTTATTTAAAAATTATTTTATATCTGCTAATTCATCAATCTCTAACATTCAAGGGACTGATTCTCCTTTTTCTTGTTTTGAATGTCTCTCATTTATTCTCATTTATGGTGGTTTGTTTCCTTATGTGCTCTTTGATTTTGGATTATGAGCTTAGAATCACTGGAAGGTTATCTCTGAGAAGATACTTAGCTCTGGGTATAAGGCATATTCTCCTCGGGGAAGAGTTGTTTTACCTCTGCCAGGTCCACTATCTATCAGGGAATATCTTAAAATAAACTCTCGGCTCCCCCCACCCCACAACAGATCGTGTTTCTTTCTTTCTTTTTTTTTTTTTTGTGAGGAAGATCAGCCCTGAGCTAACATCTGCCAATCCTCCTCTTTTTTATTTCGCTGAGGAAGACTGGCCCTGGGCTAACATCCGTGCCCATCCTCCTCTACTTTATATGGGACACCGCCACAGCATGGCTTGACAAGTGGTGCGTCAGTGCACACCCGGGATCCAAACTGGCGAACCCCAAGCCGCTGCAGCAGAGTGCGCGCACTTAACCGCTTGCGCCACCTGGCAGGCCCCACAGATTGTGTTTCATTCTACCTGGAGCCAAGGCTGAGAGAGATACATTTAAGTCCCATCTCCTTTTGTGTTATGAGTTCTTTTTCTTTTGCTTGTTAGATTACCCATCAGAGTATCATGTTTTAGAAGGCTGGGATATTTTTCAGCGCTATGTGACCAATGAATTTTATTTTCTCTCCCCAGTCAACGGGACGTTAAAACCAAAGCTCTAGGTCACCACAGAATGTTAGGTACCCCCATGTACCCTCTTGTTTCAGCACCCATTTTCCTCCCTGGATTTGTGACATGTCATCATTTTTGACCTTCGAGGATTTCTCTTATATTTTTACAAGCTGTGATATGCCTTTAAAATATTAAAATAATTATTATCCATCAGTTTCAAGAACTTCATTTTTGAAGATTTTTTGGACTATTTGGTTCACATATTGCTGAAAATGAATGTCCTCAGTTATTTCAAGTGTAGATTATGAGGCTCTTGTAAGAGAAGACACAGTTTTGCAAACAGGGCCCTCTTCCCTCTTCAGCATAATCAGATAATTAGGCTGGGACTTGTGACTGATCAATTGCTGTGTTATGGGGGAAGGAGGAGGGATGGTTGAGTTGTGGTGGGAATTGTGGACAAGATGGTAGTGCAGGGGGATTCCCTCTGTTGGAGGCAGAGAACACCGATAAGGAAATATTAAACCATATTAAATATTGACCTCTACTTTCAAAAGAAAGACACAAGCCTCCAGGACCAGAAATAGAGTAGAAAATCCAGTTTCTCAATGGGCAGCTAATATTTTGATGTATTTGTGGTACTGAGACTAAAATATATAGTGGCAACCGGGATTTCTGCTCCTGTGAGGGGCCTGGAAATCACCCCATTGCCAATCATCAGAGGTTGAAGAGGCACTGACCACTATTTCATGCTTGTGCCTGTGGTTGATCAAGGAGAGACAGACTGAAACTGGGGTGGCCACTGTGTGATTGCTTAGGGATTAGACCTGTGCCTTTCCAGAGAGACAAGTTACAAGAGTTCCAAAAGCCTTGGTTCTGAATTGTGGTCTACCAGGAAGTGGAAACTGCAAAAATTATAACTGTGGGATACAAAAGATAAATGTGCCCACTCATGATGCACTCCCACTCAAAATGTGCCCAGCAATGAAAGTTACTAAGCACACGAGGAAATCTAACGTGATTAAAAACAAATAATAGGAGATTTTACCTGTGAGGAAATTGAAGTAATTGAGCTATTAATGTTTAAAAAATTTCAAAACATAAAGGATATAATGCCATCCATGAAACAAAAATATGAGTTTGATACTAAGTGGGGCAGCTTTGAAACAAGAAGAAGGAAGTAAAAATCTTGAAAACAAAAAAATATGATCTTTGAAATGAAAACTTTCTTATAGAAGTATAAACAGAATACTGGAAACAGTTGATGAAAAGCTTAGTTAATTGAATTAAAGAACGAAGAAAGCTGGAATTGATAAGGTGCACACACACACCCCCCATTTGATATAGAAATGGTAAGCATCATGGGAGATTGACTGAGTAGTGCCATTATGTCTTGCTTGGATTTCTAGCCATGGAGACGTATGGGAGATTCCAAGGGATAGAGCCTAAGATTCTGTGGGTTTTAAGGCAAGAGATAATTTCACATATTGATAGTCAAATTCCGTCAAACCAAAAAAAGAATCTACCCCTAGAGACTTTATAGTAAAACTGTAGGACACCAAAGGAAAAGAGACGTTTTAAAATATGCCAGAATGAACAGCTGAATCAAATATAAAAGGAACAAAAACTTGATTGGCAGAAGACTTCTTGCCTGCAACAACAACAAAAAATGGCAGAATAATGGGCTAATATGTTTAAAGTAGTTAAATATCATTTTAGAATTAAGAATGAACATGTAATAAAGCATTTTCAGACATACAAGACTAAGAGAGTTTACCACACAAAAACATGTTCATACTTACAAAACCAAGATAGTTAGCCACATACAGGATATAGTGAAAAGAACTATTAAAGGATATTCCTCAGCAAGAAGAAAATTGAAACTAGACTTGGAGAGTGGAATCTAAGTATAAAAAGGGAGAGAAGAATTGGGAAAGCATGTTGGTAAATCTAAATAGTATTGATGTTTTTAAAAAATGAAATCATTTTGTTGACTTCAGCTTTACCAGTCGCATTTTATTTCTTTTATAAAAATGTGAAGCAAATATGGTAACAATTAATTTTTTAAAAATTAGAAGTTTGATTTACGTAAGAGAAAACTCAGGGTAGAATTTAAAAGGTATAAAATACTAATGTGGAATAGCAGGAATGCAAATATTTTACATCAATCTATCAGTTGACATGGCCAGATGGAGAGATTTAAAAAAGAAATACATATCCCAATGCACACTGAAAATATCTGATAAGATCCAACATCTCTCATAATGAAAAGTGAACTGACTGGAAGAGAACTTCAGCAGGTTGAGAGGTAGCTATGAACAAACACCATACTGTTAGGTATAGTAACCATCATACTATTTTGGAATTTTCCAGAAGAACAGCTGGAAACACCAAGAAAGAGAAAAGCCATGGCTGAGAGTCTTTATAAATTCACGGGAAAGCATACAAGGAAACTCACAGCATGAGAAATCCAGTGATATCCTGGTTTGGGAGAAATAGGGGAGCAACGTTATGATGCTGGAGAAAGCAGGGTTTGAGAGAAAATAACTGATGCCAAACGAGGGGGAACGGAGGGGCCAGAGAATGATCTTGGAAAGAAGCCCAGACGTCTGAAAACACATTGTCTGGTATCCCTGGGCAGATTTGCGACTTCAAAGATGAGGTCTAGAATCTGCTTTATCTTTCGGAAGTCTTCATCGGCTACTATAGGCAGTCTGCACGGAAAAAGCAATTGTTTGCACATGAGGGGCTCAATTTCCAGGTTGTTGGATATCTAGTGTAAAGGACTGGGGGAATCCCAGAGGGCCCCCAGGGGGTAGCCAGGCTTGTCTGTGTGTGTGTGTTTGTGGTGGTGGTGGTGGGGCAGTTCATTCCTGGAACAGCCGTCTCCGGGCCTTGCGTGGAGGTCCAATAGGGCGCGGGGGGCGCGCGTGGGGACCTGGACTCGGAGAGGGAGGTAGAGGCTGGAGTGGTGAGGTGGGGAAGGGCTCCAGAAGGCGGAAGTCCAGGTTGTAATAGGGGCCAGGAGAGCGTCTCTCCGGACTAGGCGTGGGGGCCCAAGGCGAGGGCTCTGGGATGCGGCCCTGCGGGGAGGGGCTGGACACCCCGCCAGCCGAGGGGCGGAGCCCAGCGACTGAGCCGGCTGCAGGGTCCACCCAAGGCGGCAGGAACTCAGGGTCCGAGTCCTGCTCGTAGGCCTCTTCTTGGGCGGCGATCTCTGGGACAGAGGCGCAGAAGAGTCCCTGCTCGACGGCGACGTAGTCCCCGGGAGCGCCCAGGAAAGCGCCCGGTTCCAGGCCGACGGGCGAGTCGCCCTGCCCTCCCGCGTGTTCGTCGCCGGAGCCCAGGAGGGCCTCGGGGACCAGCATGAGGGTGTAATCTCCGAGAGACACTTGCAGGACCGACGTTGGCTCGGGCTCCAGCACCAGGTCGACGTCGTCCAGGGGCACCTGCAGGGCACAGCCCGCGGCCAGGACCACCACCGAGGTGAGCGCGCCCGCGGCCGGGGGCTCCGCCGGGTCTTCGAGGCTGGGCGCCGTCTGGGACTCGGGGCCCGCGGGCTCCTCACATCGGCGGCGCTTGGCAGGGCCGGGTCCTCCGGGCTGCGGTCCGCACCAGGGCGCAGGGTAGGCGCTGGGGCTGCGGAGCCGGGTGCCCATCACGTCGACGGCGCTGCGGGCTTTGCTGCCGGGGCCTGGCCGAGGGCGTGGAGGGCTGGGTGCCGCACACAGTGACAGGTCTCGGTGACAGGAGAGGCGGGCCAGGGGCGAGTGGGGCGCAGGACCGCGCGACGCGGGGCGAGTCCCGGGAGCTCGTGGGGCGCCCCCGGGAGGCCGCAGTCCTGGCTTCTGCGGGAGCCGCCCCGGTGCAGCGCTCGGCGTCGCGCGTTCCAATCTTCTGTTCCTCACACCGACCCGTTTGCGCCTCAGACGGCCAATGGTGTTGCAAGTGACGCCAGCGTAACCAAAGTCGCAAAATATCACGCTAAGCTCCGCCCCCTCTGAGGCTCCGCCCCGTGGAGATCGCGGTATCTGTGCAGCCCAATAGCCGTGGCTGTAGTTGGTACGTCGCTGCAGGGAGATACTTTTATAGGCCTCTAGGGGGCAGAACGACTTGTGTAACTCGGTCTTAGAAAAAGAGATATACCAATTAATAGAACTTCAAACATTGCTCACTTTTATGGCTAATGTTTTCCTGTGGCTTCAGGTATTTTGGAGAAAAGACCACTCAACTAGACCCCCCTTCCCCCCCGCCCCCGCCCCACACCATCAAACAGACCCACCCAAATGCTCCGTGAAATTCCATTGATACTTGGTCTTTCATTTCAGGAGTAAATGGAAATACTGATTTCTCTTTAGGAAAAGTTCTGTTTTAATACCAAAGTAAAGTATTTGTGGCTGTTTCTTCCTGAAGGCTAAGGCTCGTCTAAAATTATTAATAATATCAATACAAGTTAAAAACTATGATTAAATCGTTTTATTGAGCACTTATTACATGTCCACCATTCTACTGTTTTAAAAAATGAACTTTTTCTTTATAAAACCCCAATACTTTATTGAGGTATGATTGACATAGATAAAATTGTACATATTTAATGTATACTACTTGAGTTTGGAGACAAGTGTACATCCATCACCACAATCAATGCCATAAGCATATCTGTCACCTCCAAAAAATTCCTCCTGTCTTCCTTGAAAAAAATGAGCCTTTTCAGTCTTCACAGCAGCTGAAGCTCAGAAGGGTAAAATAAGTTTTCCAAAATGAAATACCTACTTTGTGTTAGATGTAGGAATCAAATGCAGATGAATCTGGTTTTAAATCATGCACTCTTTACTCTTATATTTATTGTATACACCTAAGAGTGGATTGCTAATTGGTATTATGTGTGCCTCTTCAAATTAATAGGTAATGCCCTCCGCCTTCTTTTTCAACATGCTTTTCACAGTTCACACTCCTGTGAGCAGAGTATGTTTCCATTTCAGTACATCCTTGCAAACATTTCTTACTACCAGACTCAAATCTTTTCCAACCTAGTGTAGTAAAATGCTATCTCATTGTGTTTTCATTTTGCATTTCTGATTGCCAGTCATGGCGGATCATTTTTTCATATGCTTATTGATCATTCTTATATCTTCTTCTTTGAAATGTTCCTATCTTCTATTTTTTTACTTTTTAAAAATTGGGTTTCTGACATACTGTATACCAGTCATTTATCAAATGTATGTGTAGCAATTGTCTCTAGCACAGTCTTTGAAGACTTGAGTACTTGATTCATCATAATTCTCACCCATTCTACCTCTGGTACAATTTGTGGTGATTTTAATATTCTCATAGATTCCCCCCCCCCAAATCATGGCCTCTTAGCTCTCTTCCTCTTCAACAGTTTTGTCCTCCCTCCTACTTCATTGACTCATACTCTTGACCTTGTCCGTTACTCCAAATAGTAACCCCTTCATGATCACAATTTCAAACAATTTATTCTCAGAGAGCACCACCTCCTAACTTTCTAGCTAAGTTGTTTAAATATCCGAACTCTATTAGCCCCCCTGGAAAAACCATTGATCCTATCACCTTTTCACTGAAACTGACACCATCAGGTCCTCACTTCCCTCTTTACCCAGGACTTAAATTCCATGGACGGTCATTATAATCATTGCTATGTTTATATCTTCATCTCTCTTTCCTCTTTTCTGCTTTGCTGGTTAAATATATCTGCTACTCTGTGCCTGCACTTGTGCAGCTGAGTAGGGCTGGAGAAAAACACTTATCCCCATTGACTAGTCTCGCTTTATGTTCATGATCATCAGCCTCAAGTGGACTCCTAATGCTGCCCAGTGTGATCTTCTATGTTGCTCTATTCTATTTACTCTTTCACTCTACTAGATGAACATTGCGTGCTTTCTCCTCTCTCCCCAAACCTCCAATACCTCATCCCTTATTTTCGCTCCCAGATGGTCACCTAACTTCTTTTTCACTGAGACAATAGAAGCAATCAGAAAATATTTTCCAAAATTCCCATAATCACATCTCACCAAGCTCCATTGGGACTATATATTCTGCCCTCTCTCCTGTTCCCATAGATGAATTGTCTGTGCTCTTAGCAAAGGTCACTTCCTCCATTTGTGCAATTGATCTCATCTCATTTTGCTTCCTCAAGAACATCACTCTAGCAATTCTCTTATCTCTGTCCAGCATCAGCAAATTTTAGCTACCTCTACTGTATCAGTATCTTCAATATATAATTGAGAGGTAAACTCTTCCATCTTTAAAAAAAACTCTTTTGACATGATTTTCTCCTCCAGTTTCCTCATCAGTTTTCTCCTTCCTTATACACAAAAACTCTTGAATTAGTCAACTTACTTGCATTCTCTAATTTCCCTCCTCCCACTCTCTCTTTCATCCACTCTTATCAGACTTCTGTTCACGCCAGTCATCTATAAGCACTCTCATTAAGGTCACCATTTGTCCCCACATTATGAAATACGGTGGTCAATTCTCAGTCCTTATCTTGAGTTATGAGCAACATTTGACACAGTCAGTCACTCTCTAAACATTTTCCCCCTTGGCATCCAAGGTCTCACACTCTCCCGGTCTGTTTCTGGCTTCTCTTTCCCAGTTTCCTTAGCAGTTTTCTTCTCACTCTGACTGTTGGAAGAGCCCAGGACCCTGTTCTTCGCCTTATCTTTTTTTTCTGTTAACCTTCACTGTCTTCCTTTAAGTGCCATCTTTACGCTGGTGACTCTCAAATACAAGTCTCCCTCCTGTACTTTTCTCACAGACATCCAACTGCATTGTCAGCATTTCCTCCTGAACATCTATTAAGTTGGACCATATGTCATTTTCATTTTTGTAGGTCACAATGGTTGAATATTACCAATTTTATATATGTCAATCTAATAATAGGCAGTCCAAACTTCAGGTCCAAATTTGAGCTCCTCATATTTTCCCAAACCTAATCCTTTCCAAGTGTTCTCCATCACAGTAATTGGCAATTCCTTCCTATTGTTCAAGCCCAAAACTCAGAATTATCTTTGAGACTCTCTTTTTCACATTTCACATCCATTACACCTGGATATCCTGGACCATACCACTTCTTACCGTCCCTCCTGCTACCACCCTGCTGCTACCTTCATCCCTTTAGTGAATTACTGTAGAAGCCTCCTATGTGGTTTCCTTGCATCTCTTCTTTGTCTTTCCAAGCTAGTCTCCACACAATAGCTAGAGGGATTCTGTTAAACTGTGAATCGGATCATGTCACACCTCTGCTCAAACACCTCCAGTTTCACTCAGGGTCAAAGCCAATGTTTTTATATGGGCCTACAGGGCTCTATATGATCTGGACTTCCCACCCTCATTGTCTGTCAGATGGTACCTGCTTTCGCTACCCCCCTTGCTCCTTCTAACACAGCTCTCTGGCCTCTGTGCTTTTCCTAGAAACTGACAGGCATACTTACAGATCTTGCAATTGCTCTTCTTCTACCCGTCTATCTGCATGGTTCCTCACTTCTTTCAGACTGCGACTCAAATGGCTTCATCTCTGAGGCTTTCCCTGAGCACCCTATCTAAAATAGCAACTGTGCACTTAAAGTTTGGACTTCTGCTCAGCTTCTGGACCCTGTAAAGTTGTTTAATTATTTTGAGAATTTATGTCTATGTTTAATATTTTTTCTTGTCAATATTAAATGTCTGTGGGAGAGAAAGAATGCTCCCTCCCCTTACTGACTACCATCTTGACCAGAATTCACACATGTACACACACACACACACACACACACTATACCATGTACCCTTCCATATAGCACAGAGTAAAGAATCAGAAGTTAGCCTTAGAAGAAAATCAGGCTCTGTTGATTGTTTCCTTAGCTGTGCAGAAGCTTTTTAGTTTGATGCAAACTCACTTGACTATTTTTGCTTTTGTTGCCTGTGCTTTTGATGTCATATGCAAAAATCATTGCCCAGACCAACGTGAAGATGATTTTTCCCTGTGTTTTCTTCTAGTAGTTTTACTATTTCAGGTCTTATGTTTAAGTCATTAATCCATTTTGAGTTTGTTTTTGTATGTGGTGTGAGATAAGGGTCCAATTTCATTCTTCTATATGTGAATATTTACTTTTCCCAACACCGTTTGTTGCAGAAACTATCCTTTCCCTGTTGTGTATTCTGGTGACCCTTGTCAAAGATCAGTTGACTGTAAATGTGTGAATTTATTTCTGGGCTCTCTATTTTGTTCCATCAGTCTATAGGCTTGTGTTTATGCCAGTGTCATACTGTTTTTATGACTGTAAATTCGTAATATGTATATGTATTTTTTTGAGGAAGATTGGCCCTGCACTACCATCTGTTGCCAATCTTCCTCTTCTTTTTTTTCTCCCGAAAGCCCCCGTACATAGTTGTGTACATAGTTGTAGAGTTGTAGCTCTTCTATATGGGACACTGCCTCAGCATGGCTTGATGACTGGTGACTGGGTCCATGCCCAGGATCCGAGCCACCGAACCCCGGGCCGCCAATGCGTGAACTTAACGGCTACGCCACCAGGCCGGCCGCTTGTAATATATTTTGAAATCAGAAAGTGTGATGCCTCCAGCTTTGTAGTTGCTCAAGATTGCTTTGGGTATTTGGGGTCTTTTGTGGTTTCATATGAGTTTTCTGACTGTTTTT